TTTGAGATCCTGGCAGTCTTTTTTGTCCTGGCCATCATGCTCTGCATAGACACAGATACAGTCGGACTTTGTATAAAGGGAAAAGATGGGTCCAGAAAAGGGCAGGCGGCACTCCTAGTCCTAGATTCAGCCGTCCTCGGTGACCGGCTGATCACTAACCTAGGTCGTGTCGTGTGCTTTCGTGATGCCATTTCAAAAAAGAATAAAGTAAAGAGAAAATTAAGAGTAAGAGAACCGACGGTTACCTGAACGAGTGATGATTGATGAAGTCCTGAAAATCCTTTGCAGTCGGCTTGTCAGAGCAGGCGGTAGGCAGAAACGGTCCAAAATGTCAGAGCAAGTTCAGGGGTCCGAATGTTCTCTCACAAAGTTTTCAAGTGTGAAAATGACCGAAGTCAACACTCCTTTATATAGGCGAAGTGAGAAGGCGAAGGGTCACTTCCAGAATTCAAAATTTTGGCGGGAGAATCTCTCGGCCTCTCGCTGAGTGACACCTGTAGCAGGCTGCCGCCTGTTACAGGGCGATACCTGTTACAGGTAACACGTGACCAGTCACGTGCCACCTGTGAGGGGCAAATGATTAGGGGATTTTTCTCCCACCAATCGGAATGCGCCACGTGGGCCAATCAGATCCTGCCAAGTGTCCCCTAGTTGGACCTCTCAGGGCTTGCCACGTGGCACACGCTTATTCTTCCACCCTGGACTTATTATGTCATGACATGTGGCATACTCCATTCCTAATGGAGAAGCCGGTCACCTAGGCCCAACTTCCGAGGGAAGCCCAATCAGCCCAAGGTTAACCTAAACCTAGATTGGCACGTTTCCCGAGGTTATAAATACCTCCCTTAATCCTCATTAAGGGAGATTACGCAGAGAACGCAGATTACACACATTAAACACTCTCACCTAGAGAGACCCAATGACTTTAATTTCCGCATTAATTACGCCTTAATCAAGTACTAACTTGACCGTTGGAGGCGGAGCTCCCACCACAAGGAGTCTCCGTTGTTTTGCAGGTACAGGCGTCCGGTTCCAGTCTCGGAATTGTAACTCTCCGGCAGGACATCAGAAAACCCCGAAACAGCTATCTTTCTTGCCCCGGCTGCTTTGCACATGCGGATACCAGCTAAAAGGGCTTCATACTCAGCTTCGTTGTTTGACGTCTGAAACTTGAAACAAAGCACATATTCATACCTGTCGCCCTCTGGCGACTGACATATAATACCTGCCCCACAACCATTTGTTGTGGAACTCCCATCAATATAGACTTTCCAGAGTTGATCAATTTCTTCATATTCTGGCGGTCGGGTCATCTCAACTATAAAGTCTGCAAAGGCTTGCCCCTTCATAGCTTTTCTGTGCTCGAACGTGAGCTCAAGGCTTTGGATCTCAATTTCCCACTTTATCATCCGTCCTAACGACTCCATGGTCGTCAGGGGCCGTTTGATTGGCTGGTCTGTGTAAACGACCACTGGATGTGCCAGGAAATAAGGCTTCAATTTCTTCACTGCCATGTACAGGGCGAGTCCAAATTTCTCCACCAGTGGGTACCTCAACTCTGCATTCTTCCAGACATGACTGACAAAGTAGATTGGGAGTTGGCAGCCGTCTCTTTCAGTTAAGAGGACGACACTTAAAGCATGATCTGATACTGCGAGATACATGTAAAGCACTTCTTTTGGCAAAGGACTGACGAGTCTCGGCAGGGAATGCAGATGCTCTTTCAGCTTTTGGAGGGCCGACTCAGCATCCGGTCCCCATTCAAACTTTGCTTTCTTTCTAATTGCTTGGAAAAAGTAGAGGCACTTGTCGCCTGCCCGACTGAGAAACCTTCCGAGAGCGGCGAGGCAGCCTGTTAGCCTTTGTACCTCTCGGACGGTGCGAGGCGACTGCATGTCAATAACCGCCTGCACCTTGTCAGGATTTGCCTCTATTCCCCTTTGATTTATCAGGAATCCGAGAAACTTCCCAGACTCAACTCCAAAGACACACTTTTTTGGATTAAGCATGACTCGGTGCCGCCTGAGTGTGGCGAATGTTTCTCGGAGGTCTGCCAGATGGTCCGTTTGGAATTTTGACTTTACAATCATATCATCAATATACGCCTCCACATTTCTTCCAATTTGTTAAAAAAACACAGTGTTTATCATTCTTTGGAAGGTTGCCGGGGCGTTCTTCAGACCAAACGACATGACCGTGTAACAATAGAGCCCCTGTTCTGTGACAAAGGCAGTTTTCTCTTGATCTTTTTTCCATAGAGGGATCTGGTGAAAGCCTGAGTAGGCGTCCATGAAGCTCATCAAGGCATGGCCGGCTGTTGAGTCGACAAAGTTGTCGATCTTTGGCAAAGGATATCTGTCTTTCGGACATGCCTTGTTTAAATCAGTGTAGTCCACACACATGCGCCAGGAACCATTCGGCTTCTTGACTAGCACCACATTTGCAACCCATTCTGGGTGGAAACACTGCCGAATGTATCCCGCATCAAGTAACTTCTTTACCTCGGCGGCGACCGCCTGATCTTTCTTCACCATGATGCCTTTTCTTCTGTTGTATCGGTTTCTTTTTTGGGTCGACATCTAGCTTGTGTACCGCAAGGTCCGGACTAATACCTGGCATCTCATGCACCTCAAATGCAAATATATCTTGGAAATCTTTCAGCAGTTGGCGAAGGTCATTGCCAAGTTCAGTCAGAGCAGTCGTCCCCACCTTAACAGTTCGGTCTGGTCGACTGTCATCGAGGGCGACATCTACGGTCTCCCCAGCTGCTTGAGGGCGGAATTCATCTGGCCGCTCCTCAGCTAGTGATTTCTATTGTTTATGCTATTTCTTAACCTCCGTCTCGGAGGCTTTTCTCTTCCTGCCGCCTGCCTCTTGGGCAGACACTTCTTCTATAGCTTTGTCAGTTGGGCCGTCTAAAGTTACCGTTGTTTTGATGTCAGTGAGGTAACTGATGAGTGACATTTATGTCACTCTTAGGGGTAGTATTTAGGTCTTTTTCCTCTTATTTTTCTTAGGTTTTCACCTCATTATCCTCTTATGGCTTCTTTTTGTGTTGATGAAAAGTAATGCTTATTTTGATAATCTTTATGCATTATTTTATCATCCCCATGCTCTCGTGAACTTTGGTATCTTCTGCAGGTTCCGTGACGGTCCTATGCACGGTGGGAGGCCCATTGGCCAAGCATGGAAGCCATGGACAAAGGCAAGAGGAGCAAAAGGGAAGGAGAGGAAGCAAGAAAAGGAAGTGCAAGAGGAGGTGTGGCCGAACCTCTGGAAGGTCCGGTCGAACCTTGGTGTGGTCAAACTTTTGAAAAGTTCGACCGAACCTCCAGGGTGCAGTGAAGGCAGTGTCAAACCTGTTTTCAGCAATTTTGCAGGAGAGGTCGAACCTCAAAAGTTCGACCAAACAAGGATCAGGGAGGTTCGACCGAACCTACACAGGGTTCGACCGAACCTACCCTGAGTCCGACCGAACTTACCCAGAGTTCGGTCGTACCTTTTCCCGATCTCAGCCAATTTTGTACGGGCGTTAGAACGGTCGCACATTCCACACTCAATCAAATAAATTTATAAATCCTAAAACTAACCCCTAAACAAGTCTAGTGGTAAGTTCGGAGTCGAACCACAAGGAACGGTAATGTTGGATTGTTCTCGATCTAATGCTTAAGCTACGCCGAAATCGGTTTATGGATAGTGGACACTACAACTACACTAAAACACATATAAAGAACAAGGTATGATAAAGTCTACTAGGGGAAAAGATCCACTTAGAACAATTAATAAGATAATGATAATCCATTTGATAATCAATCATGCAAAGAAAGAATTATAATGAGAATTAACTACACTCAAAAGTAATCTCTCAAATTCCTAGCCTAGATCCCTCATTGACTAGGTGCATAGAAGAAAATTACCCAAAATGCAATCAAATATATCAATTCTAATTCACAATCCCTTGTCAAACTAGAACTAACATGCAATTAAGTGTGCTATCATGGGAGATCAATCCAATCTAAAACAAACAACATGCCAACATCAATTCAATCAATTTAATCACACAATTATCATCAAATTTATCTCAAATAACTCAATTAACCATAACAAAGCTTCACTCAACACCTAGTAGAAGGAAATCTACTCAAACATGATTAACAAAGCAATTAATAAAGCATAAAGAGAGAAGAGAGTAAGAAATGCTCATTGATATAAAATGGAGATCTTCAAATCATCAAATTCCTCCTTTGATTATCCAAAATCCATGAAAACCATTGTGCTCCTCACTTTCTCTCTCCAAAATTTGAGAGTTTCTCTCTCTAAAAACCTAGAACTAACCTAAAAACTATTCTAAAACTGAAAAATCTCTCCTTTCTTTAATGAGTAAAAAATCTATTTATACCCTTTACAAAATTGCTTAGGAAGCTCCGCAAAAAGTCAGCTGAAACGGGAAAAGGTCCGACCGAACTCTGTGTAGGTTCGGTCGGACTCAGGGTAGGTTCGGCCGAACTCAGGGTAGGTTCGGTCGAACCTCCCTGATCCTTGTTTGGTCGAACTTTCCTGGTTCGACCCCTCCTGTAAACATGCTGAAAACTTGGTTGAAACTGCCTTGGAGGTTCGGTCGAACTTTTCAAAAGTTTGACCACACCTAGGTTCGACCGAACCTCTTAGAGGTGTGGTCACACCTCCTCTTGAACTTCCTCTTCTTGCTTCCTCTTCTTCCCTTTTGCTCCTCTTGTCTTTGTCCATGCCTCCATACTTGGCCAAGGGGCCTCCTACCGTGCTTAGGACCGTCATGGAACCTGCAAAAGATAGCAAAGATCACGAGAGAATGGGGATGATAAAATTATGCATAAAGATTATCAAAACAAGCGCAAATAAGCATACTTTTCATCCATAAAAGAAAAGGAAGCCATAAGAGGAGAAAAGAGGTAGAAAACCTAAGAAAAACAGGAGAAAAGAGACCAATACACTACCCCTAAGGGTAACATAAATGTCACTCATCAGTAACACTCTCTGGCCATTCTCTGGTCTCCCCTTATGGAGCCGACTGTTTTGTCATCCTTCTCAAACTTGAGCAACATAAGGGATGGAATGATAACTGCTTTAGAGTCATTAAGGGTGGGGCGCCCAAGGATCATGTTGTAGGCAGTAAGTTCTTTCACAACCAGGAAACGAATGACCATGTGGCGGCCCTCGCCTCTCTCACCCAGACGGACGGGAAAGTCAACTTGACCAATCGGATGGACGACTCCCCCACCAAATCCTACGAGAGGATGGGAGACAAGCTGTATACTCTCAAGCCTGTACTTGAGCTTGGTCAAGCACTTATGGCTGATGAGGTCCGACGAACTCCCTGTATCAATAAGTATCCTGCCGACTCTTTGGTTGGCCACTTTACACTCGATGACAATTGGGTCGTCATGCGACCGTTGGACACCACCAAAATCTTTCTCAGAAATAATAACCTCAAGAAACGAGGTACCAGAGGTCTCACCTCGATTAATAGAGTTCACATCCAATTGCCTGATGTTATCCTTGTTTCCCTGAACAGTCGGGCCTCCCCCTGCATAGCCGCCTGCTATTGTATTGATGGCTGCTTCATCAGTGTCAGAGCTGTCGGCCGACTTCTGTCTTTTTGGCCTGACCGACTGATTTTGTTTGGGGGGCTGTTTTCCTATAGATTTCTTGACATAAGAGTCCAGATCACCCCTTTCAGCCAACTGATCCAGCAGACGCTTGAGACTAATGCATTCATTGGTCTCATGCCCAACGTCATCATGAAAATGGCAATGCTTGCCTGGGTTGCGCTTGCTAGGATCACCCTTCATAGGTGCCGGCTTCTCAAGTGAGAGTCGACCCTTAACTTCTTTGAAAATGGTATGATTATCTTTGTTGAACTCATACTTGGGGGAGTATGGAGTGAATTTTTTTCTCTTCTTACTGGACGGCTGACTAGTGGAGTCAGCCATCCAAACATCTTTTCTCTGTTTCTCTTCCTTGGGGGCCGCTTTTTGTGAACGACCCTCCTTTTTCTCGGACCTTTTCTGGTCCCCTTGCTTTCCCATGTGACAGAGGTCGACTGCCTGTATGTAGGTCTCGGCCTCAATCATTGCCTCTTGGAGAGTAGCCACTCTTTTTCTTACTAAATCGAATTTGAAGTTCGACCCGTCCTTCAATCCCTTGAAGAAATCAGTATAGGCTACTTCATCCGGCAGGTTGGGTATTTGTATCCTTTTTTTTTTTTTTTTTTTTTTTTTTTTTTTTTTTTTGAGGAATGGGTATTTGTATCCTCATTAGATTGAATCTCTTTATGTAGGAGCGTAATCCCTCCTTTTCTCCCTGTTGGAAGGCTCCTAGATCAAGAGTCGTCACCCTAGCAGGTATGTTCATGGAAAAGTTTGATGCAAACAAGTAAGCCAATGTTCTGAAGTTGTTAACACAACCGGCCGACAGGTTGCCGAACCACTGCTGGGCGACTCCCTTTAGAGTGGCAGAAAAACACCTACACCATGTGGCATCGTCCAATCCTTGAAGGTACATTAGATTGGTGAATGCCATCAGGTGATCCTCTGGGTTAGTGGTACTGCCTGTCCGGATCTCATAGTTTGACCTTGAATGATTCATAGAAGTGTTTTGTATACTGTTAAGAAAATCAGAAGTGGAGGCCGACTCAGACTGTTGTAGGATTTCTTTGAGCCGTCTGGTTGAACCAGGCGGATTGGTTTCCTTTCCAATGAGGCAGGGATACAGTGCTTGGACAAATTGACAAGAGGTACCCGCCTCTCCTCTTGGCGAGGGTGGGGGGTTGCCTCACAGTCCTTCAATGACTTCTTCTTTCCTGAATAGGAAGGCTTTTTGCTTGACTGCCCTTTTTGAGAGACAGCCGCCTTTTTGTTGATGAGATCTTTAATCTCACCCTTGAAACTTCTCATGATGGTCATAAGATCATTTCTTGAGACAGGAGCTGTCTAGTCGACCGCTTAATGAAAGTCGGCCGAAGGTCCGACTGTTTGGCCTAGACTAGCCTGGTCTTGTCGTTCATGCCTTTCACGAGGGGTAGTGCGTCGAGCCCTCAAGGACCCGTCTGGGGCCGTGCGAGTCTCAACTTCAGGCTCAGTGTCCTGATCAGAAGAAACATGAGGCTCGTCTTCTCGGTAGTCGTCCTCAGGACGCTTGTCACTATTAGTCGGTACAGATTGTGATGCCATCTCAAAGGTACTCTCCCCACATACGGCGCCAAAATGTTCCGGGGTTTTCTGTGTCCCTTGGGAGAGTTACAACTTCGAGGCTGGAACCACGCCCCTGTACCTGCAAGATAACGGAGACTCCTTGGGTAGGGAGCTCCGCCTCCAACGATCAAGTTAGCGAATGAAGGGGTTGTAATGCGGAATGTAAATAGGTGCCGGATGCTAGGACGGGTCTAGCAGGCGGTACCGAGTGGTGTGTGGTTGTCTTGGGATTTGTGCAATCCGTGTGTTTCTTATGAACAGTCTCTGTCATAAATGAGCATATGACCGTATTTATAGCCTTGGGAAGCGTGCCAGGTTCTAGGGTTTTTGGCCAACCCTAGGACTGACTGGGCTTTTCTTGGGATTTGGGCCAAATCTGCTACCTGTTTAGACAAGGCTGAAGGGCCACATGGCATAGCATAGGGAGTCCATGGTAAAATAATGTGCTATAGGATAGAGGAAACCATTTGTGTAGGATTCTGTCTGTGTAAAATGGTCTATGTAATCTAAGTTTCTGATACTAAGGAGCAATTATGTTGCTAGAGAAGAAATTATGAGCCTGATTTGATAATTGAAACAAATTAGGTTGATTATTGAACTATGAAATTGGACCTATTCTCCCATTACTACTACAGTTTAATTGGAAATATGAATTTGGACCTCTTCTCCCAACAATGAACAATGATACAGTTAGAATTAGATTCATCTCAATAAATTAATCCAAAAGAAAATCATTTTATGGTTTGTATGCTATATTTATAGGTAGTGTGATAAATAATAATGATCAAAGTTAGCAAGGTTTGATCTTTGATGATTGAATATTATTTTAAGATGGGATGAGTGATACTTGAAAACAACCATCAGTTTGGTAAGTGGTAGGCGTGTCGCGTACCTATAAAAAATAACCTAACAGACCAATACTAATGTAGACTGGTAAGTAAGGGTCGGATCCCAAGAGACTAAGGTTCAGAAATAATTAAATAGACTCGAATTTCTACTAAGCAAGAATCAATTATAATCAATTATCTAAGGAACTAAGTATGAGAAGAATTCGAAAATAAACTAAATGAGATGATTAAATAAAGTACTTAAAACATCCAAGATCTAGTTTCACCACAATTATTATCGATGCAATTGTCATTCTACCCTTAACATACGATTTCAATCGAACGGGGAAAAGTAAACCCTAATAAATACCAAGGATCTCTCTCGAGTATCAATGGCTTCCCTAACATACAATCAATTCTATTCTCATGGTATCATGCATATTAAAGACATTAAACACATTACTCTAACTTCCCCATTATCAAACATAACTACTCTCGTGATATGAATCAAACCCTAAATTAATTTACTCAAATCCGTTTATACCCAACTCTCGCTGTGATAAAAACAATGGAATAATCGCAATACTATAGTTACGTCTAACCTAGCATTGGCATAATCACAATCAATTTAGCAATTCAATTGTTAAAGTTATTAAAGAATTTAAAGATTTAATTCATGCATCAATAATAATAGGGCTACACTAGACCTTGAATTAAAGAATCTACTCACACATGATTAAAGAAACAAAAACAATAATAAATAATGAAAACATAATTAAATAACAAAGGATGAAAAATAAATACCAAATCTTGAATAAAATTGAAAGTAGAAAGCTTGAATCTTGAATTACAAAAACTTGGAAAATAATAATGGAGAACTAGTTCTTAAGGAGAGAATAAAAATAAAAACAAGACTTAATTAATTAATGAATCGTTCTAAAAACAAGGCTAAAAGGTATAAAAATAAACCTAAAAAGATAAGATTTAACTCCTAAGTTTGGCGCACTGAAATTTCAGGAGGCACGGACGTGCCTCTCTAAAAATAAAAACGCTGCTGAGTCTGTCTTCCAGGCACGGACGTGCCTGACTGCTGGGCACGGACGTGCCTGCTTGCTCTTCTAGGCACAGACGTGCTGGGTGTTTAAACATGGGCGTGCTTGCTTCTTTACCTGGGCACGGACGTACCCCTTTGCTAGGCACGGACGTGCCTAGGGTCTTCAGTAAGGCGCTGCTGTATACTTAGAGGCACGGACGTGCCTCATAGTAGGCACGGCCGTGCCTACCTCTAAAAGGGCCTTTTCTTCAATCCTTTAACTTCATGGGCCTTGGCTTACTCCATGGATCCATAACTCATCCAAATTGGTTCCATTATTCCTGAAATTCATTAAAAACAACACAACTACCCATAAAAGCATCGAATTATCCAAACTAAAGCAAAATACGCCAAAACGGACTCAAATACTCAACTAAACTAACAAAACTAACTAATAATAAGCCAAATAATATACACAAAACACGACATATCAAACTCCCCCAAGCTAAACTAATGCTTGTCCTCAAGCATTTAACCATGAATCACAAGGGAGGAGAATGACAACTCCTCAAACAATCACAATGTGCCATCAAGTTCAAAACCATGATAAAAAACAAAATCAAGAGTCAACATGCACAAAAACCACCATTCATCTCATATACTTGGACTTGACAACCAATCTTACCACACATCTCCCCATACCTACTCACACAAACATGAATAGTTCTCACTTTAGTTGTGAAAAATAAAAACAGTAACGCTCATGTGTTTTCGGGGTGAAATATGAAGCCACTCAACCTAAGCATAGCATGCATATCAACTTCACACAACCGGCCTCTTTAGGCTTGCAATGTGACTTTCTCCAGTTTTAGTGATTGATGCAAACACGAAAATCATGAAATCCATATTAGGTAAGCTCGGTAAATAAGGGTTGGACGACGTATTTTGGGAATGTGGTGCTCAAAATAAAACAAATCCTAATCCCACTACACATTCAAATGTCGGGTTCAATCCAACCTTATTTCCTCCAACTTCATACAATTATAAACATAGCCCTTTATTCTTTCCTTCCCTTTTTTTTTTCTTCACACAAAGAGGAAGGGATTAAATAAAAATAAAATGGAAGACTTCTCGATTTTTTCAAAGGCCTTTTAAGACCATATTTTTTTTTCTTTTTTTTTTCTTTCTTCCTTTTTTTTTCTTTGTTTTCTTCTTTTTATTTTTATTTTTTTTAACATCATTCACACTCATAGGGCTTAACAAATGTAAAACACCTTCAAAATAAACCTAGAAAAATAGCTCTAAAGCTTTACATGTAGGGTATCAAGAAGGGGTTAATATGGCTCAAATTGGTTCAACCTACGGGTGAATGTAAAATAAAAATAAATAAAAACAAAAAGAAAAAACATGAAGGCCTAAAATGTGGATGCTCTATTTTCTACAAGGAAATTTCAATCATCTTTTCGCGACATGCATCATAAAGTCTCAAATAGTCAAAAAGCAAGACCAAGAATTCGATTATATGATGGACAATCTAATCACACAAGAAGAAACATGACTGAGGTAGAGTGAAATCAGTCAAATAAGGCTCAAGACTCTCACCGGGTAAACAAACTATTCACATAAGTAGAGCGGGGAGACCAACTAAAATCCAAGCACATCAATGAATGGGTTTTCAAAAACTCTTTTTTTTTTCTTCAAAAAGCGCACATATGTGATTATAATCATAGAAGCATAGT